AGGAAGAGTTTTGCTCGATTCTGCACAAAATACGGTGAACAGAAACGATTTTACCAACGACGTATTTTTGCTTTTTTCTTCGCTGGTGCGTTGTGATTTGGGCTATGCACTCTGATAACAACGTGACACCTTTTTTTTTGCATGCTGTCCCTTCTTAACATAGATATTACCTTTTCTCTGAACAGCTCAACTTAGGATCAGTCTGACGAGATCTACAAAATTGTCAGCAAGAGATTTACTTGATTCTATACCAAAAACGGTGAGCGAGAACGCTATTTGCAAGCAACTCCTTTTGTGCTAATTCTGCGCTAACGCGTTGTTATTCGGGACAATAGAACAGTTTGCCGTTATTATTAGGGAACATGGATGGTCCTAATAACAATGGAGAGCGTTGGAGTTTTTATTCCGCTGATTTCTCAGCCGTTTTACAGCAGAAAAAATTCATTATTATGCTATTAGAAGCGCACAACATCGAGGATCATGAAAATATAAAAGTAATTTCGAACTCGAATGGTGGTGGAGAAGCCATATGAAGATGATTGAAAAATTCTCTGTTGTTATTAGGGAAGACGACTCTGTGCAGGTAAACATATCTTGAAAAAATTGCTGATTTTAGACAAATTATCGATAATAAAGCCATGACCTTCGAATCTGTTATTTGAAATATTTTTCATGATCTCCGATTTTTTAGGAGAAAGTTAAAAAACGAATGGAAAACCAAAGAAATACAATACACGATTATGGAATTTTATAAGTCAGAATGGAAAAGTGATTAGATATGCAACAGTTTGAGATCAGAAGAACTGTAACTGTCTAATCATTTGGTTCAAAAGAACTATGTAAATGATTGCTCATTCAAGGTCGTTCAAAAACTACCCAGGTCGAAGTCACCTGGTCGGGAGTTGTTGGAATCCTATTTTCCCGATTCCGTTAGTCCGATCCTATCGGAATCGCTGGTCTTTCCGATCCTTTCCGACTGCCGGAATCCTGAAATAGGGAAATCGTCGGATTGCTCTGGATTCTATCGGATCCGGCAGATTTTATAAAACAACAGCGAACGTTCACAACTACTCGAATATATAGCGAAGCATTCTTCGCATATCTACACGAAATGTTTTGGTCGAGTGACGAAAATATGTAGATCGGTTTACTAAGAATATTTAGGAGTAGGAAGAATTGATTCAAACGAACAGTAAAACATTTTTTTGTTTAAAACACTCACTTTTGTAGACTCAGTTTGCACGGCGATGCATTGTTGTAAAATATAAACAGAAAGTTACTGATTATTTAGAGAGAACACCAAGTATTATTTTCATGCCTTTCTTTTATGCGAAATAACTTTCAATTTGTGAAGGATAGAAAGCAAAAGAATCTTGAGAAGAGTCGCTTGTCTCTTGAAGTGCTTTTTTTTCCTGTTCGATTCCTTAGAATAAATAAAACAAAATGAATGAAATTTCTTGCGCTATTAGAAGCGCACAGCATCAAGGATGAAATTCTAGAGAAAAATCCCGTAATGCGTTAAAAGGCATACAAATTTCAACAGTGCTGCTTTCAATTTTTACCAAAAATCGATCTCAATGAAAGCTGACTGCAGGCACCGATTCGAAATCAATCGTACTCAAGACAGATGAAATACAAAGAAAAATTATTCTTTTTTTCTAAAAATTTATGTGAGACTGTCCCAGCTGCGAAAGCTGATCTGACTGCGTTAGATCCATCATTTGACAGCCTGGCATTTTTTCAATAAAGATTTTATATTAAATGATTTCCGTTGTTTTTTAGCCTTGTATAGTACTTGTAGCAATCACTGAGATCAGAATTACTGAGACCTGACAAAAGAAGCCAGTAACTTCTGCTCATCTCGGCCGTTTATCTCAAAAATCCTTAGACTTGGCAAATAGAAGAGCATTCATTTGAGATAGACGGAAAGAAATCACGGTGGCTTTTTATTATGAGAGAGGTGTAAACGTCGTTTAAAAGGTCCCGACTTCCGCAACGGTTTGACTAACTTCTACGAGTTAACTTAAGTATAGTTAAGTTAACTTTATTTCATTTTATCTTATTTATTTTCGAGTAGGGGATTTTATTCTCTTCTTCTTTATTAAAAAAACAAGGAAAACTTAAAAATTATACATTAACTTAAAGATTTTAAAAATATAACAAATTTCGAAAGAAAAGGTTACAAGTCGATTTTTGTAATCTAGAAACAATATATTATATTCAATTCACGAACATTGCCAATAATATTAATTATCGATGGGAAATAAATACAACTGGTATCGTCATGTGAACGGATTTTCTTTCTAAGTATTATTTTTTCTTTTAAGTATTACTTTGGACTAATTAGGACACCCAATCAATACTTTAAGTTTACTAAACCAAAAAACAAGAAATATTCGTTAAGAAACAACAGCAGCCAACAACTGTATGATTATAGAGACAAGAGTGTTTTCTTCCAGAATTCTTTCTTTCCAACTGCTATTAAAGAATGGACCGAACTACTTTCACAAAGATCTGACTTTCAAAATAAATCGAAATCTTATAAATTCCGCATAGAAGTTAAAAACCACTTGTTACCTTCTGTAAACAAATTACCGTGTGTGCTGAATCGGAGAATTGATGCGCTATTTTGTCGACTAAGAGTCGGTTTCTCTGCATTAAACCATCATCTAAAGCAGCATAAACTTGTCTCCGAAAGTCTTTGCAAACACTGCTTATTTTTATCACCCTTCGCTCAAGTAGTTGAAACACTTTTTCCTTAAATGCCCTCATTATAATCATGCACGAAATATTCTATTCTCAAAATTCCAACATGTGGGCATCAAACTAGACTTGGATACTATTCTCTTGAATGGTATTTCAAATAATAAGACATTTCTCTTTGTTCATGACTGTATATGTGATTTTATCTCGGATACTAAACGCTTTTAATGTGTCTTACCTGATTTGCTGTATTTTGATTCCGAAGCTGATGCATTCCTATCTCATGTCTGTACGAATTAATTAGAAGCCGTCTCTCTGTCTTTATCCGCAGGGTTATCTGATCACCACTACTACTCTACTCTTCAACATCTCCTATCATATTCCTCTGCAACTGACGATCAATCTTTTTCTTCCTCTCTTCAATTCTTCTTTCATTTTTGTATGTCTCTTTGTTAACTTTTGTACTCATCCGTTCATTCAGACTCTTTTGCAAATTGATACAATGTGATCCATTCGATCGCGATTTCGATCTGTATTAAGATTTTCTTTTTCAAATAAAGTTTATACCAACTAATTGCAGCCGTTTTATATGCTTTTATCTGCTACCTACTAGGTATAACTCTGAGCGAACAAGAAGCTGTAGTTCGAAAATTATACTAAAAGAGCAGTAACGGGCTTCGAGATCGTCACAAGATCGTCCACAAGGCTATATTTACATTAGCATTATTTATTACGTATCATGCACGCATCGGGGATTTTTTAAATGTTTGCGCAAGTTATTTTATTGCCGACGACCAAGCAGCAATACTAACCCGTAGAACTGGGGTTAAATATACCGACCAGTGCCTTGACCTTGAGAGGAGGGAGATTAAAACTATTTTTTGATAATCTTGAATTTTACGTCATGTTAACACCAGCCTGTAAACTTCTCCAAAACAGAACCACTTTAGCCTGTCAGAGCAATTAGTGCTCCGAAATTGTCTATTTCATTAGGAGCTATTCATATAAACTAGGTGAATGAATTAAGTACTTATATTATTTAATAACAACGGAGTTAGGATAGGTGGCACTGTCGAATTTTTATCATAAATTTTTTAATCAATGTTAAATTGTTATCGTTACCCTAGCTCAGCATCTGTCTTTCTAAGAAGAGCACTGTTTGTAGCGTATGTACTGCCCTTGTTTATCTGGATTTTTGTACTTTTTCCTCTGTTTACTGAAATCAACGTCTCGAGCTGACACGTTTTTACTATGCTTTATTAAAACGAATTATGTTTCGTCTGCCCTGGCTATATACCTTCTTTGCGTTTGTATTTGATGAATTATCCTGGGAGGATCGATGTGTCCTCTATTTGGCAGTGCTATCAGATTCTATTGATGGGGAATTGCTGGTTGAACAGACTAGCTTAAATGTGTACAGAAAGGCTTCGTGCAATAAGGAGAATTATATCAAAGGCCTGTTAGATCAAAAAGATTTGGTCAGCATACATTAGTGCTGGAAACATGTACAAATTGGTGGACCTGTAATTCTTCTAGTTACTCGATCTAGAGTATGACATAACATATGTTCTACTTGTATATGAGTGAATTGCGCTGTAAAAATTCTGCGTCTAAACTTTTCTCCCCTTAAACGAACTTGATTTAGAGTATTTTCCGCATTTCTTCCCTTTGTCCAAAGCAAACCTCAACTACTGTATATCACTCGATAGAGAAGCTCAGGACGTACAAAATGATATCTATAACATTAAAAACAAATGGGTCCGGGTGTTCTAACATACTAGCCCGACCCCCACAAATTAGGGGTGCCACTTTCTCTTTCCTACCTGCTTTTTTTATTAACAAAAGAAAAGTTTTTCTTTTTCTTTAGAACAAAAACGAGTAAAGATATAATGCATATTTTTTCTTTCCTACGAAAAAGAAAAGCGGCGCCTTTTCTGTCCAAAAGAAAGAAAAGCCACATATTTTCTTGTTGAAGAAAAAGACTTTTTGCATCTTTTAAGAAAGTCTTTTTCTTGCAAAAAGACTAGATGTGGCTTTTCTTTCTTTTGGAAAGAAAAGGTTGCTTTTTCTTAGCAAAGAAAATATATGCATTATATCTTTACTCTTTATTTTTTGAAATAATCCTTTGTTGACGGGTTTTTTTTTGAAAAAGTTAAGTTTTTTAAAATAGCGAAAACAGTTTTGCCTTATCTCCATCACTCTGCCTGTTAGATAAGCGTCTAAACATCTTATTTCTTTTCCGATATAGTCTTCGGAGCTCATCAGTGAACCATAACTTGTCGCTTTTGCATATCCTAATGGTTTTTTCGGGTATGTGGCACTTGGCTACATCCAAAATGGCATTCTAAGGCACTCCACTCTCTCGTCCACACTATTCATGTTTTTTAGTAGTGCCCGCCATGGCACTAGACTTAAGTTATTCCTAAAGATACTCCAGTTTGCTACTTCATAGTTATATATAAGTCTTGTGCTCGCCTTATTCTTTCTGGATTTTGTCTACAGGCGGAAAGCTATTGAAGAATGATCACAAGTTGTCGTAATGTTCTGTACAACCTCAGCATGTCTAACCCACACCAACTTACTAACTATGAGGGGATCTAAAAGTGTGTTTGAAACTTATCCGAGTCGGCTTATCAATTAACTGGAAAAAGCCAGAATTACTCACAAAAGTTCTTAAACTTGAACCTTCAACTGTTGTAGGTTTTGTAGGCACACCACACCACTCAGTACAGTGTGCACTGAGACCAACTGTGATAATAATTGAGTCAAAGTTTTGTTTTCTGGAAGCGAGTATCGAGAGCATAGGTAAATCTTGACATAGGTAAATCGTTCGTAATCTGTAAAAATTTTAAAGTTACTGTCATTTTATTTAGGCCGAGAGTTTCGTTCAGAGACACGTGTCCATGTTGAAGATCTTCCCAGTGATCGCACAGTGAGAAATGAACTCGAGCGGTTGGCGAATTTCAAACGAAATACTACCAAAAAAACTTTAATAGCCGCGGCTGAGAACAAATGTTTGTCTATAAGTCCAGATAATTGGACTGACAACCATCGTCGAATATCATACATGGGAGCAACAGTCCATTTCATCGACGAACAGCTGACATATCATTCAATCGATCTTTTCTGTGTCGAATTCGTGCAAGAAAAAAAATCAGCGGAGAATATCTATGAGGTAACAAAATGACCTCTTCGACTAACACGGATTTTCAATCGATCAGACACTGAAAAATACTTGAAAAATGTTTTCGATTGATCAATTTTTATTAATAATCTGAATGTGTCTTATTTTTTCCACGAATATAAGTGAATCTTTTCTATTTATTTTTAGTTAATGGAGCAACAGCTTTCAGAATTCGGTCTCCAGTCATTCATGGACACGATTACCTATGTAACTGATAGAGGCGCGAACTTCCTCAAAGCCTTTCGATCAAATAAGGTTCTCCTTTGCGTCGTACATCGAATGAACAATGTTCTAAAGCGGTGCTTCTATCAAAATCCAAGCAAGAAATCGACTCATTCGCCGGACAAGTTGGTTCATACGACAACAAGCAGCGAAGCGACACCTGTGAAAATGAAAACCATGACAACCGCATGTCCTACTGCATCACCAGAGATCGAAGAAAGTAATTTCAAAATTGACGAAGAAGAATCGTAAGTTATTGTTGATTATTCGATTTTTCAATCTGATCAATTTCTATTCTGATTCAAATGTTACAGAGAATCAGAGGAGGACGAAACAGACGATGATTGCGATTATACAGTAACAACGATTGCTCAATTACCAGTGAGTGCTGGAGAGTTTCTCGATACCATCAAGCATTGCAAGGCACCCGTTCGATACATAAAGAAGGTCTGGAATGAAAAGTATAAATTTGATGAAGCATTTCTCTTTTTTCCCTCCAGGCAAGCATGAACCGACAGTTGCAACTCATTCAAGGAGCACGCGAGAATGACCATAACGATCCCAATGAGGAGTCTCTAAAGGAAAAACGACCAGGCGGAGCATCTACTTTGCATCAGTCATCAATCGTTCGATGGCTTTCGCTATCTGATCTTGTGGAAAGTATCAAAAATGCATATCCCGGTCTTGTTCTTCTTCTTAATAAGATTGGACAAAGGGCACGTATTCAGTCTATCAACATGGATCTAGTCGATAAGCTCATCACATTTCTTCGTCCATGGAAAATTGTTCTAACTGAACTGCAACGCACGAACACTCCATCGCTCTTTTTAGTTTTTCCTTGCATCGGTTATCTTAACGACGAAATAGCAGCCGGTCGCAAGACGGAGAAAGCAGATGAGTATAAATTGGTTTTTTAATTTTGTTTTTAAACTTTACAGGTATAACGACACGAACCTAATCAACATTTTGTGATAAAAATTAAATTTGATGGGAAAACCTTGTTTCTATCACTCGTCGATGACATTTTCTTTCTTTTTCAAGTGTGCTCTCTGTCAAAATCCAAAACTGTTGTCTATTTTAGGAATACGATTCTTCTACAAACGCGTAACTCAATTGCTCTCGTCAATGTTCACAATGAAAGACGACTATATTATGGCAACTTTTCTCCATCCGAACTACAAACAACTGCGTAGCGCAACAGCCTCACAAATCGCCGACTGCCATTCCACCTGTCGTCTGTTTGTTCTTCCCGATGCATCATCTTCCATTGTCGAAGAGGACGAATCCTACGAACCGCCGATGAAAAAAAAGAAAGTGTTTATGACTTCACTCAGGGATAAAAAATATCACCGACTGGACTCGACCACCGATGAAGTGGATAGATACATCGACTTGCAAATTGACGACAATGAACAATATGTCGGGCATTCTGGAAACATCAGCAAGATCGAATGGCCTTTTCAAATCTCGCCCGTATTGCGTGTCGTTATTTATCAATCCCATGCAGTGGTGCCGCTGTAGAACGACAGTTCAGTGCCGCAGAGCAGATCGTCACCCAACGGCGATCGAATCTTGACCCATCAACGGTGAACAATATACTTTTTCTTCGTTCCATTGAAAATAAGAATGATCTATGATTCTGTTTTCTATTATTATTTGTCTCTATGTCATTGCAAGTGTTTCTTTGTACACTTATTGCTGTTCAATCGAGTATATGACGCATGCAATTGTCTTCTATTAAAATGCTCATGTGTATATGTGTTCGTTCTTTTTCTTGTTGAATTTTTTTTCTTGAACTATTTTTTGTCCTATAATCTCATTCTGTCAGAAATACATCTGGAAGAACAAGAAAAGAATGTTCTCTGAAAACCAGATACACAGCTTATCGTCATTGCACAATAAATACTGCATAAGGGAAACACTCCATTTTCTGCTGTATATGAGTCGAATCGAATCGAACATGGAGTCAATCGAACTTGAAAATTCAAAAAGTAGGTCGAATCGAATATAGAGTGAATCGAATCTTTTCGAATCCTAATCGGGATTTTTCCATTCGTTTCGGTCTCTGTAACAGAGTATAAGAAGAAAACGTTGTTTGGCCGATATTGTCAAAGCAAAAAACATACACTCAAAGCTATCATTTTCAAACTGGTCAAGACGCTTCACGTTTATGTCCGTGCGTGCATAAAGCATGCAGCCACCTCCGTGTCTGTTTCTTTCTTTGCGAAAGGGCGGGTGATAGTTGGAAAGTGTTAATCTGTTAGAGTGAATTGCGGGAGATAACCAAGTTTCCACTATTCCTATTATGGCCGGATTCGATAAAGATGTATAAGCCTTGAGAGCATCAAACTTACTGAAAGATGGTAAAAGTTGTGAGTTTGAAGTGACACTCTGTAGATTAGTTATTGGGGCTACGCCAGCCAACAGACTACAGACGTTGTGTATAGAGATATCCAAAGTACTGTGCACTTCTAAACAATGTACGTTAGTTGACATCATTGATAAAAGACGAAAAAGAAGCCGTTCTCTCCGCCACATAGATCACCATGATCGTACAAAATTCAACTACTATTGACGAAAGAAGAGGAAGAAAGAGATAAAGAACAAGAGAGAAAAACATGCATACACTGATGTAGTAGGAGCCATGCTTTTCAAAGGAGTAAAAAAAAATAGAAAAAGAAAGTAATGTGATCGATCGAGAAGCATAGTTGTGACTTCTCCCACACATCTACGCGAGTACAAAAACACAAGATTACAAACTAAATCTTCTCACGTGTCATAGTCAATAGAAAAGTTTATCTTGAGTATAGCAATACTGGCAACTTTAGGGGATTGTTTTTGAATTTTCACCTGTTTTTCATAGATTCATTTCTTGTGAAAACGTTCTTTGAACCCAGACGATGTCTGGCTTTAATCAGCATGTCCATATTCAATTTTGTCAAGTCTTCTGATATGAACACAGGATTGCTACTGCCTAGTGTTGAGCGTCCGTACAAGAAAGAATTTCGCTCAGAACGAGCACAAAATTTAACGATAATTTGCCTTGGTTTACCGTTTTTAGCTTGTCCAGTTCAATGACAGACGGATATGAATGTGAATCTAATTCGGCTTTCATTTGTGTAGCTAAATTCATGACAATATTGTGCACATTTTCATCTTGTATTTCGGGAACATTATGGATTCGTAAATTACCAATCCGCCCATACTGTTTCAGATGATTAGATTTATCTTTCGATATCTTTACACTGCTTTCAAGTTTAGAGGCGAATAAATTTTGATCAGTTAGACTTGCTTCTAATTGAGTAATTTTATCTTCAAGTTCGCTAATTTTTTCATCTTGTATAGCCATTAACGGTTCAACCAGTTCTTTCACTTTGGCGACGACAGAGTGAACTATTTTTTCAATAAAATTTGTTCAAAATGGCTGTGACGATTGACTTAACCATTTTTTCAGAGTTGAGAATTTGATCTTGATTATTATTTGATAACCACTTCGAAATAACAGTTCTTGAAGAGCTCGACATTATTTGTAGTAAGAGAGACAAAACACGTGGATTTACGGATTAACCGACGTTTGAGCGCCCGACATTTGAGCGCCCGACATCTGAGCGCCCGACATTTGAGCGACCGACACTTGAGCGACCCCGACATTTGAGCGACCGACACTTGAGCGACCGACATTTGAGTAATAACGACCGTTCAGCATCAAGTGCTCACTCTCACCCCCACTCACCCACACCCGCCCTTACCCTACACAGCCTCACCCTCAGATCTCCAAATAATTCAGTTCATAATCGGACGACAAAAAAATTGTTCTGATCATCGTTATCGAAGTG